GCCATGTCCACCTCTACCACCACCACCAAAACCATGTCCACCCACACCCACTTGTCCACCACCATATTGTCCTCCTCCACCACCCCCGCCTCCATGCCCGGAACCTCCACCGCCAGTGTGTCCACCTCCAGTCCCACCTCCAGCTCCAGCTCCAGTTCCAACTCTAGTTCCACCTGCACTTCCACGACCACCAACACTTCCATTACCACCAAAACCTGTTCCATATGCGGTAGTCCGCACAACTCCGCCACCATCTGATTGTGTAAGTCTCACTAGTTTAACAAGCTTTCTGTGGAACTTAAACTTTAATGTGCGGTGAAACACGATCACTTCGAATTTAAATTTCACCACAGCAGGAATTCTGAGTCACAAAATTCATTGTGCTTAAAAGTCAAAGAAGGCGTAAGAATATGCTCCTAATATCAGAATGATCAAAAACAAATCGCATTAACACGATATCTTATAACTGGCCTGAGGGTCTGGTGGTCCGTGGTGCTGCGGAAGAAATTTGTCCTCTCCCTCCCCCACTCTTTGTATTTTTCCCAAGTTTTTTTAATCAATGCTGCTCTTATGAGTGATTTCCTAAGTTTTTATCCACTTTTCTTCTGTCATACCATAAATAGGTATGCCAGCCTTGCCTTAAATTAAAATTCTTCAATGTTAAAGTCCGTTGATCACTCATCACCTCATCATTAAATAATGATGTAATTAGGTCTTCTATATTTTCAATGTCTAAAGAATAGTATATATATATATATATAGGAATACGGTATTGCGTAGAACTGAGTTAAATATATTACTCGGCCCTCGAAAACCAACCATTCTAATTTCTCATGTGGCCTTCTGGAAAAATTCATTGCCCACTCATGTCTAATAAGAACTACCTAATTTCATCAATCCATTTTTCGACCTTTCAGTGAACTTATACGTACTAATTCCAGGTTACTATATAGGACTATGCATAATTCATTAAAAATGTAAACAAGTTTTTGGGAACCCACTACTTGATTCTTAGATTTGATCTTTGAAATCAGTGAGCGGTTATTATTTCGCTAATATTGCAAATTGACTACTTTAACCCTTTCTATTTTGCTCCAACTTTTCTACTTGGTCTCTTAGACATTTTCGACGTTTTCTTTTTTTTTTTCTCTATCTCTCTCCTCTTCTCTAGGAAAATCTGATCAAGAGGACAGTAGAAATCCAAGACTCCTAAATAAATCTTGTAGATCCTTTCTGTGCTTAGAAACTATAATTTGCATGACCTAGCAGATATATTATTGCAAAGATCCAGGAAAGCTTACTATTTGGCTCTTATGCACAAAACCAAATTAGTGACGACTGTGATTAATAAGTTAATAACAATAATTAAACATGTTCCAACAATTAAACAAAAAAGTCTAAACAGTATTAGTATTAGTAATGCTAGTTGTAATCGAAGATTATCGGATTCACCTAAATAGAGCTTAGCAAAATCATGTTTTATTCACCGGATGGAGCTCAATTAAATCATATATAATTCAATGATTAATCCTATATCTTGTCTTTAATAGCAATATGATTGTATCAACATTATCAAATTATTTATTGCATCATTTCTGTAGATTATACTTATAAAATTATCATTTTCATCGTTGTTATCATGATTACTACTATTGCTGATTTATTATTGAAGGATGTTAAAAAGTGCGCAAAATGCGGCGGACCAAAACCCTCGGGATATGCAGATGGCAGTATGGACGGAGCATATTATAGGGATAGAATGTATTCCACAAAAATAGTACAACGAAGTGGAAGGAGTAAACGTGAAATGAAGCTTGTTGTAAATGATACTTGCAACAGTAAATATCTGATGGAAATTATGGACCAGGTGTCATTTTAATTACTGATCGATAAAATTTAAATTTCAAGTTAAAATAGATATAATATAATGGTTTACATTGAAACAAAATCATGTTGTATTTTTAAGTATTTAAAGATTTTAAATCAAATATGACGAAAATTGTATTTTTAAGTATTTAAAAATTTTAAATCAAATATGACGAAAATTTAATAGTTTACCTATATATATATATATATATATATATAT